AGAGAGAAGACAAAACAGACCAGGCAAAAAGAGAAACAGGGGAGAATCCGGTGCCCTGCAGACGCACTCCAAAGGAGAGAACCAGCGAGGCGGACCGCCGTCTGATACGATAAACTCTTTGCAGGCCTCAAAGAAATCCTTGAGCGTCTTCCTACCTTCCTCTTCCTCCGGTAATTCGTCCATATTGGCATAAACATTTTTCGTCGCTTCTTGTTCCTGAAATTTTCCACTGTTCTGAGGAAGCGTTGACGTTGTTGACTTGAGTTTAGTTACCGTTGATGCCCGCTCTGTTGGGAATTAAGAAATTCCTATGGAATAAAATTCCCTCCCCATGATAGCAATGGTTGGAATTTCTTCCATTAAAGAATTATGCAAACGAATAATAATAATAAAAAAAGTAAAATATCAATTTAACTTTAAAAATCTTCAACAAAGAAATATTAGGAAGCAAATGCCTCTCAATTTTTTTCAAGTACTCTTAATATTGTCCTTAAAATCACTTTTGTCTTTTTAGGCATTCCACTTTAAGATCTCCCTATCACTTTTTTGTTTACCACTCAATCACCCCATGGGGTGGAATTTTCACATTACAGGTGCGTCCCTCCTACCATATCTTAAACTTGTTAATAATACATATTTATATAAAATTAAAATAAAAATTTGAAATTTTACTAAAATATAAAATTTAAACTCTTACAAAAATTACTATATATTATCATTCGAGTCACAAAGTTAATTTAAGAGTTAGAGGATTAAATCGAACTAAAATTCCACAACATCTTTAAGATTGAGTCCCTCTTCTTGAAATTCTAAATAGACTTGGGAATTCTAAATTAGGAAAAAAAAGGAGAAAATTGATCCAATTTCGCGCCAAAGTGTCGACACCTTGCGGTTCCAGAACTTAGATGAAGGGTTCGGAACTCTTTCGGTCACTGTCTTATATTTTTCACTCCTGCAGTGTCAGTACATTGATCAGAGGTGTTAACACTTTACTTATTTAAAGATAAACTTCAACTTCAAGTAATTCAAGGCACACTGTGGATATAGCGAATGCCTAAGTCTGGCTTTGCTTCATTTCCTATCCCAACAGGACACCAGCGAGTAACTGATGACATATAGCATATGTGCAAACTCTAGTTGCTGCCTTAGCCATAAGTATGAGTAATTAATCTCGAGTAGTTTGCTCGCTCCCTAAAATATAAATTGAAAAAATCAGGTTGCATATTGAATGGATTCTACAATTGAAGTCATAATTGCATGTTGAAGAGACTAATTTTATCTTACCCACACATCATAAGGTGAATCTAGAATGTTGTACTTGGTTAGACACTGCCTTTATTCCAGCAAAAAATCATACAATTTGTAGACTTTGAATAATGAGATAAACTGTTTATTCCAACTTATATAGTTGCTAGCGATAAGTTTCACTGGAAATTAAACAACAAACATTGAAGGTAATGATATTAATATTTGGATTTCCAGTTGCAGTGGTCATGGGTATTGGAGTGACAATGGCTACAAGAGTTGCGGTGATAGTTTTGCTTAAGCTGATTAAAAGGGTTTTGTCGTCCATGATGTCTGGGTTTGAACTTGTTTGAGGGAGAGGGCTTTGATGCCACTAATGGGCTATTACAATACAATATTGTGAAAATGATAATCATTATATCTCTCTATATATATAAAATGCTACCATATACATTAAATAGGGAATGTATTTATATATACATTTATAATATATAATAATATTATATAATATATTTTTATTTATTATTTAATATATAATTTATTATATAATTATATACTAATTAATTTTAAGTAGTAACCGAAGAATAAATTAATTGGTCTTAAAATTTATCATTTAATTTTAATTATAAAAGAGTAAATTATGTAAATAAATCTATTTACTAATATGAATTCAATATTTTTATCTTTTCATATTCTTTGTCTTCTGCTTCTTATCTTTTTATTCTTAATTATTTTATTATTATTAGTTTTCATTATATACATAATATAATATAATATAATGCATTAAAGTGAAGGAATATGAATAGATGCTTTAAATTTATAAAAAATAAACGTATATGATTGTAATGCATAGTATAATAAATATTTGTGCGATTACAATTTTTTTTAACATTTTGGCTTTCTTTTTCTTTATATACAAATGTCATTCCATCTTCTCACTCATCTATATATAAACCCAAATAGGGTGAGCTGCTGGGGGGGTAACCAAGGCTTCCAAGTCTACTAATCCCACTACCCCTACGTACTCTAGCAGCTTGTTCCTTAAATCTACATCCCCCGGCACCAACGTGGGGTAGTTCATATACGTGTGGTCTGAGCGTCATTTAGAGAGACGGCATAAGAATAGCGACTTGAATACTGTTGCTTTAGCTGGTATCTCTAACTTTGCACACAGCAGCATAAATCCCATGATAAATTTTATGTTGTTCGGCGTCAGTTGTGTTAGTGTTAGCTCGTACTCTGCCAACAAGTCAAAATTAGCCCTGCTAGGGGGAAGCGCAGGCCGGCATCAAAGTGATCTACATACACTGGTATCCAGCCCGTTCTCGACACTATACACGCCCTCTCATGTTGGGTATTAGCTCGGATTAAAATCGTCCTTGGAATCTAGTATTGTCTCACCATTTCCTCTAACTTTTTATACCCTTTGACTGTGGCCAAACCATCTGCCACATCATGATGCAGTGCTGCCCTGAACCTAAAGCTGGCCCTAAGAGTTTTTGGTGCTTTATGGAGATTGTCCAATATCCTACTAATAACCTTATTCTCCCATGCTTCGAATACAACTACATGCGCTTCTGTACTTGTCACCGGCGGGCTGATAGTACCTTCTCCAGCATCCCCCACATCACATCACTAGGTGTCCTCTCTGAAGACGAATCTTTAGAGGCTGAAGAACGATGGTCGCCGGAATCACCACTTGCGCTCGAACCAGCGCTACTCTCCGGTGTGATGGTTTCGGGCAAATCCTACAGTTCCTGTGGCACTACCATCGTAATCTGTTCCACCGACATAACACCCTCTTCTTCGTCCCTCCCTTGGTTACCCTGAAGCTCTCTTAGATCTTGAAAGGAATCTATTTTTACTTGGATGTTGGAAATCTGATGTTCTTCCACGTTTAGAGTTTTGAGGAATGCGCCTGAAATACTTCTGTAACCTTTGCTGCGAAAAATGACAAACAGTATTGTAAAATGAAACAGAGAAATGGTTAAGTGACTGTTTTTGTTACCTCTCTCAAACAAATCACGCACCTGTAAATGTCGTACACGTGTTTCTGACGTGCCTATTAAATGCCTACACGTGGCAGCCATTTACGGTTGAGTGCGTAATACCCGTCGCCTGCAACTGTCACGTCCCCTCAAATGCTGAGCCAGCATTTATTGCGGGGAAGGCAGAGGGATATTTGTTGGCAGAAGAATATCAAACACCCTCAACCATATCTCCTCAGAGATTTGTTCTATTTTGAATTAAGATTTGCTTCGTTTTAAGTTTTGAAAAGTGCCCAAGGTTGAGATCCTAGCATTTTAGCCTGGTTTTGTAGCCACATCTCTTTAGAGATCTCAGATCGTAGCAAGATTGATTAACATCTTTTTTGAGATCTCAGATCATAACAAGATTGGCATCTCTTTTGAGATCTCAGATCATGATAGGGTTGAGATTGTTTACTTTAGCTCACTCCTCAAATAGGATCCATTTCTTTTTTAAAAAAATTTTGAAAAATGTCCACGGTTGAAGTCGTCGCATTTTAGCCCAACTTCGTAATCACATCTATTTAGAGATCTCAGATCATGACAGGGTCAAGATCATTTTACTTTAACTTATTCTTGTAATTACGTGACGACCCTGATACTTTGTTTTAGAATTTTTGAAAGATTGTCATAGCTCAGATCGTCATGCATTTGCTCGCTTTCACGTCAGTATAGACGAGCTCACAACAAGACATAACACCTTGTATATGACATACGTCTTACCAAGAGATTTCATCTCCTTCTAGATCTACTCCATTTGAAAGCTGGAAATTCATTATACAAGCTCGCCTTTGCAGGCTCGTTGAGCTCGCTGATATACACCAAATTCACGAAAATAAGATTGCTTTAATATCAGCTTGCCCATGCACACTCAGGCATATGAGTTCGATCTATTCATAGATGCTTGATGACGTCGCGCTACGGTCAGGTCGCCCGGGTATAACCTTTTCTTTAACGACTTCCTTGTCTAGGGCTCAACTCGGGTACATCACCGATCGTTTAAGTCAAACCTCAGCGTTTGGTGTGTACCCTGTGCCATAATCTTTCAATTCGACCATTGACGAGGTCGTTCATGAACTCCGAAGATTGTTAGACCCTATTCTCCAGGTTGAATGATGGGCCACGGAACCATTCAATCCAGTTCGTCAACCAAACACTGAGGGGAGAGTAATGTTGGGAATGGGCTCAGTCAATCTGGGTCATGTACAACAGGCCTAGTAATACATCCATAAACCCAAAAAAAAGAAACATCCATACACTAGTACAGACACACCCATGTGGGTAGCAACACGTGGACTAATCGGATGCTCACACGTATGGACTCATGTCAGCATATGAGGCTATAAATACCCCCCAACTACCTCCGCTCAAGGTATTAACTCTACTACAAGGTATTAACTCTACTACGCTTCTCTCTCTGCAATTATTCCTTGAGAGCTTCTCTCTCTAGAATATTGAGTATTGCTAACTTGAGCGTCGAGTGTCTTTCATAATATATAGAGATTTTTTTATTTGCATCTTTAAAAGTATAATTAATACACTTTTTAATCTTTAATTTATATAAAAAAAAAGTGGATATTAATTGCAATCCCATTGCCACTTTGATATATGGTTTATTTTAAGAGTGGTGCTATAGTCACAACTTTTCTATCTCATTTTTTTATTTTATCTTTTTATACAATTTTCACATATCATTAAATAAATAAATGCATTCAATATTATGAATCTCATGAATTAAAAAAACTAATCATTTTAATGACATATTAAGTTATACAAAAATATAAAACAAAAAAGTTATATAAAAACTACTTCCCTTATTTTAATCCACATATCATTTGTCCTAAAATTAATTTTTATATATTTTATATATAACTTAAAAATACATTTATTATATAATTATCATGTGCTCTCTTTAAGACATATAATGAAAAATGCCATACAATAATATACATTAACTTAGTTAAAAGGAAACTCAAATTTCTTAATATTAAAAAATATCAAAATATTTAATAATAATTATATAATAATTTTTATAAAATTTAAAGTTAAATTATACCTTAATGGATGTGATTGAAAGAGACAAAATAAGAATGAATAGACAAAACTGAGACCATTGAGGACTAATAAATTGAGTAAATTATTGAACAGAAAGTCAAGTCTGTGCTCGCCTTTGCCTTGCCTTGCCCTGCCATGCCTTGCCATGCCTTGCCTTGCATGCTTATTCCATATATACCAAAACAGACAAAATTTAAAATGTCTCTCCACACCGCCATTGATATTAGAGAGAGAGCGGATTACTCTAGATTAATTACTCATGGCCATGGCGGCAACTGGAGTTTGCGCATATGCCACCGGTTACTCGCCGGTGTCCCGCCGGAAGCTGGAGATGACATCATTTAGACCAATATTAATGAAGCAAAGCCGGACTCGGGCATTCGCTGTATCCACGTTGTCGGAGCAGGCATCAACGGTAACTAAACCCAAGTCAACAACGTCAACGCTTCCTCAGAACAGTGGAAAATTTCAGCAACAAGAAGCGACGAAAAATGTTTTTGCCAATATGGACGAATTACCGGAGGAAGACGCTCAAGGATTTCTTTGAGGCCTGCAAAGAGTTTATCGGATCAGACGGCGGTCCGCCTCGCTGGTTCTCTCCTCAGGAGTGCGGCTGCAGGGTACCCGATTCTCCCCTGCTTATCTTTTTTTTCCTCTGTAAGTTTTGTCCTCTCTCTTCTCACTACCATTTTTTTTTTCTTTTTTGTCTCTGTCATTTTAATATATCCTTTATATATCTAATCCTCCGTCAATGAAAATCAAAGGATTCAAACCTCTTTCTGCAAACTGGAATTAATAATTTTCTTGTGTAGCAAATGGAGCTGGCTTTGAATTCATAACATATGAAAATGAGTTTTGATTCTCAGGAATTGATGGCACTGGACTTGGGCTTCTAATGCATCACCAGAAATTATATTTGTAATAAAAAAATCATATATTTCGAAAAGAAAGTTGAACATTTTTTTAGTATAATATAATCAATAATGATAAGTCGTCTCTTGAATCGAATCCACAAATAACAGAAATAAATAATAAAGAAAAATCAATAAAAATATACATAAATAAATTAAATATCAACTTTTTATATTATTTATCTATATTATTATTTTATAATAAGTATATTAAGTGTTAAGATCAATATTATATTAATTGAATCTATTTTATATATAGTATTCTGATATATATATATATTTCTGATTTTCTATGTTTCTATTCTATTTTTTTTTTCCATTATATTCTATATTCTTCCAATCAACTCCATTCTAAAGAGTTGTAAACATTATAAATCAACAAAAGAAAAAGTAAGTGGATCTAACCCATTGAATTGGAAAAGATTCTAGCTTATAGTTTAATCTAATTTTAGGATATTGTTTTAATTTTGACTTCACACTTGCTGAGCTAATTAATTCTGTGCTTACTAATGTTGTTCTTAAATGAAAGGAAGGATCTTTGACATTTAGTGCTTGCATATTCCAGTCGAGGACAGAGCATCTTTTACAGGTATCCAATGATAAGTAGTTGTAGACTACGTACATGTACTTGAAGATGTTTTAATACAAATTTGGGTTTTTAAATTTTCTGTGTTTCTCATAGGATTCAGGCCTTGAAAGCACAATTAGGTGAGAGCACTCCAGGTCACCAAATAGACCAATATATCTTGTTGGGGAATCCCATGGAGGATGCTTTGCCTTAGCTGTTACAAACCGTAACCCTGATATTGATCTCCTACTTATCTTGTCTAACCCAGGCAACGACTAGAATTGTTGTAATCTTTACAAACAGCATTCCTTGATGTCGTAATTATATTTTTGCAATATTAACAAGAGTGCTATTATAATTTCCTTCCTAAAAGGTATAAATGGTGTACGAAAACTGCTCTGCCTTCAATAGATGTATATCCCTCTTTGCGAAAAATGCTTTACTTGTCTTCGTACCAAACCAAAATGGCTGTCATTGTAGATGGCATTCAGTTGGTCACTTTTAATTTTAGTCTTTTTGATCATATGTAATTCATTATTCATGGTTTCAATATTTATATTTACAGCTGCATCCTTTGGCAAGTCGCAACTGAAACCTCTTCTACCTTTATTACAAAGTATTCCAGACGAATTCTTTCTTTTGGCAAAAAATTCCATGTTAAGTTTAACCACAGATTTGCTCCCTTGATCTTCAACGTCTGTTTTCTTGGCTGTTTTTTGCATCTTAAGAGAAATATGCCTTGAACGTAGGTGGCTATGGTGTCTGGATTGTCATATTAATTGCAGTGTCTGGATTGTCAATCATTTCTTTAGGTGGCGATTTGAGAATGCTGAAGGGTAACATAGTGAAGTGTATTCCTCTGGGACAATCTGTTGTTGGAAGGCTGTCACAGGATATTGTTGCTGCATCATCTAACCTCTCTGTAAGGTGCAAATCAGCATATACACCTCTTTTCCTGTGTTTTAGAGTGCATTATACATCTTTCTTTAGTTCATATTAAGAAGAAATTCTGATTTTCATTTACATGCTGCAAATTGTGGAAAGATAAATGATGATTTTAAGTCACAGGTTCTGGTTGAAATCTTGCCCAAAGAATTGCTCGAATGGAAGCTACAAATGCGGAAATCTGCTTCTGCATATGCCAACTCACATCTCCATGCCACAAAAGCTGAAGTGCTATTACTTTGCAGGTAACTTGATGATTTCGCTTTCAGTTTTGAAGAGCTATTGATCAATGTTAAATGGCCTTGTCTAAACTTGAGGTTCTCCTCTTTAGCAGCTAATGCACCAAACAGAAAAATGAAGTTAGGAAAACAAAAGTAATGGAAGAAGCAGTCAACTGAAAATGGCAGAATCAAATATTATAAACGAAGAAAGATTGAAAAATATTTCTTCATAACCTAAATGCATAGTGCCTACTTCTCTATTGTTAAAATGAGAGAATAGATGTTTACTTGCATTTTTTTTCATCGCAGTCCTAAATATGTGCACTGTCACAAAGTATGTTGAAGAGCATCTTGTCATTGAGATGAATATAATGTAACCTATAATGCCATCTGTTTAGGGCAGCACTGCAACACAGTTGACCTGTCCAAGTTTGAAGTTTATGATCCTCATAATCATCTTTGGTTGAATTAACCATTTGTTTTCTAGTGGAAGAGATCAATTGTTTCCAAGTGAAGAGGAAGTTGAAGGACTACGCCATGGACTCCCAAATTGTGAGATTTGTAAGTTTGGTGAAAGCCACCATTCTCTCTTCCTGTTATGTCTCCCTCAAACTGTATGTCTTGAGAGGAGGAGGGTGTTCTTTTGAGCATTTGAAGTTTCACTTTTTTCCCTTTTATGTCCTAATTTTTTGATGTGGGAGAATGAAGTTTTTTTTTTTTAATTACTTGTTTTAGTTTGAGTTTTATTTGAAATCTAAGTTTTACTTTTAGGAAAGTCATGTGGATAGCATGTGACTTTTAATTAGGATTAGAATTAGTAGCTTATTAGGAGTTCATAGTTTATTAGAAGTTCAAATTAGAATTGAATCAGGATTCTTGGCTATTGTTAGTATATATAGTTATTCTTAGATTTCAAGGACAGTTTTTGTTATGAGATTTTAGTTTGAGAATAAACTTGAGGTTGAAAACCAAAGTTTACTTGGTTCCATCCTTAATTTTATGGAGTTCTTAGTTTCTGTTTGTTCTACCCTTACCTTTTGTGCATCAAATTGGGTATCAGAGCTATGGCTGGTCATGGCAGAGGAAATAAAGGCCAACAAGGAAAATTAACTGAGATGCAATGTATGATTGAGGACTTGTCATGAGCTGTGCAAGCTTTAAGTGTGAGCCTGTATGGAGATGCTGGAAGGTGACCATAACCCTGCAGACACACTGGAAGGTAGTCTGGAGGTTGAGACTGTGGATGGAAGGGATGATAACCGTTTTCATGAAGCTGGAACCGCAAATCAAGTGGTAAGAGGTGG